TGTTTTCTTAGGACTGTTTTCTAATTGGTAAATAATAACAACCAAATAATCTCAATAACAATATTGACCTTGTTTAACTTAAAAGCCATTTCTGAAAAATGCAGAGGCATATTCAATCACAAGGAGGAACGAAAAGAGTATGTGTGACATGCAATTTTGTTACTGGACACTTTGTTACTACGCACCTTAGCTGCACACACTCCAATTTGATGAAAGACAGGACGTACATGCTGATAACCAATCAGAATCAAGAATTTTGTTGTAGTTAAGATTGGATGTACCAATTTCAAGAGGGCCCTTATTATGAAAGCGGTCATTAAAGGGGGCATTCATCCGCTGAGGGCACATATTTGTTACAAAGCCAAATCCAACATACACGTTTATGTCTTATAAAACAGTATGACCCTGTGCTTAAGTCGAGGCCAGGTGTAAGGGAGGGGAGGGAGAGAGTGACTATGGAACTTTCTGCCTAATATTTGCTTTTACCTCGAAGGAGGTTTACCGCTTGGAAAACTTTTCGCTGTGGGACTTTGAATGATTTCAAATTTACTCCTGTGACGGTCGACCCACTGCAACAAGTGCTCCAAACCTTCTTTTTCATCCTCGTTTCTTTTAACAAAATCTTTGTACCCGGCACGAAGGTCGAAGTCTATATTATGCGGAGGACGAAAATATCTCAGCTGTCGCTTGTCGTCGTGAAAACCTCTATTATTGTCGAGGGAGAAGCAACCGACTTCAACAGGTTGTCGATAGAAAGGAAGTCTTCCTCGAAAAGCTTCTATAGGTGAGACAGTAAAGGTTTTCTCCGTTTCTGGGCTATCTTTACGAGGTTTCTTTGATATGATAGCTTCTGATTCATCTGAAGCACGTTTCATAGTTATCTTTTAGCCTGTTTTTTCCGCCTAGTTTCTTCGTAGCTGGGTTTGGAGATTTAATCAGCCATTTTGTAGCTTGGAACGGAAAGGATCATGGTCAATGAAAGCAGTACTCACCAGGGGTGAGGGGTAAGGGCGGTAAAATGGGTAGGAATGCTCCCTGCCCCGACTCTAGAAAAATGGAAACAAACAGCTATCTCCGGGTGGGGGGCACTGCCATATATGGGCTATATAGGTATGTGCCACTGTGAAGGGTATGGTTTTTGTTCCGTTAATATTTGAACAATTAACATTTGATTGTCGTTTGATTTAGTAAATAGCTTTGATTGACATTTAGTTACGTACCCGATACGGTCAACTGACCTTTGAGCTCGGATAAGGTAGTTTTTCACAGACGTTTTCAAAAGAACACATGTTTGTTGCTGACCTGTTTCGCTAACCCGTTTTCTGCTGTTTTTAAATCTGTATTATCTGATTGCTGACCTGGACAAACCGTAAAACAATCTGATTGGATATCGTCAAAGAAGTAAGTGTTTAGTACTGTAACTCAGGCCTTTAACATTGTAATTTAGGTTTGTGTTTATATTCTGATCGTCTGTCATTTTCAGTGAAATTTTGTATTACTTCTTTAGATCGAATAATCTTGGAATAAATTATACGATTGGCGTAACCCGGTTAGATTGCCTGCTTGGTTTTAAGGAACCACTGAGCTTGTGCTAGTATATTCCGATGATTAAAATCTTATATTGTTTCATTTCTTTATTTGTTTGCTTCATTTGTGATGGCAATCTTCTGTTGTTAAGGGAAGTGTAGCTTACAGTTCTTGTTGACGCTACGCCTAGAGATTTGGAACTCACGCTCTGTTGAGACCCGAGGAGCCCGTTGAGTATTGAAAGATCGAGCGAGGTTCGACTAGAAAAATAAATAAAAATACATGTGAAGAAGAGCCGAGCGATGAGAAAAATACAGGACAGAATATAAAGACTTACAAATGTTTCCTGACTGTAGCGACGACGGTGAAGCTAGGTAGAGTATAGATTCCGCAATAATATTAACTTGAAGCTATAAAAAACGTTGGAAAGATTGGCGCGTTAGGAAACCGTCGCGTTTAAATAGTCCTAATTTGCATACATAAATGGCAAGCTAAAATAAAAATTCGCTCGTGGAGTCCTATAGGAAGACCCGAGCCAATTCTGGAAACGATGGAAACATCTGTGGAGCGGCCATTCAGATGGCTTTGAAGAGATTTCACTGGTCTCAGCGTGTCGATAGATTAGTACTTATGGCGAATCGATCGTGTTTTCACTATGTGAGAGGCGAACTACTTTATGTAAGAACCCCTGACGAGTATATAGGTTATTAATTATTTTTAGTACCAGCGGTTTTCCAGTTATAATTAAATTTCAACCTGCAACCTGCACCCTGCAAAAAAGACCTGCCGACCGCCATTACGGTGGTTTGCATACTAAATTAGCTAA